TAACTATTTTTACATATAATTGTTTCTTTATTTTAATACTAAAATATATTGTAAAAATAATTTTTTCTTAAATCAACAGAATCAGCCAATGCAGCCACTTCAGCCAGAATTTCATAAATTTCAGCAGAATCAGCGAAATCAGACGATTTTCGTACTACCAAACGGGCTCATAGTCATATGGACAAAAATATGACTAAGAAGATAATGTATTTAAAAAAAAGACGATGTTAGTGAATGTGAGAATTTTAGGTCATGCTGGAGTCTTATGTCACTAACGTAAAGAGTGCATTGGCTGCAACGAATATCATTACCGATGTGAAACACGTCTCTTCGACTGTAGAAAAAAAATCAGCAATTCTCATCAGATTCTTTTAAAATAAATTAAAAAGAGTTATGGAAGAGAAAATTGCATCTTCTCACTTTCTCAGTCACCTTCCTGTGAAGCACTAAAGCATCTTCACATTTCTTCAGCCATCATCGTAATAAATTGTCTAATAATATCTCACTAATTCGTATTCCCCACTTTTTATCTAACAATCTCTAGTTTAATTGCAACTTCAACCCTTCAACTCTTCAAGTATGAAGTATGCAGAATACTCCGTATAATTTATCTTCTTTTCTCTTACCGTAGTACTTCAGAAAAGGCTGGCTGAAGCCAAACCACTTTCTTGCGAAATTTGACCGTTTGTCAGGCCCGTGACAATTGTTAGGACCTTTAAGGTGAGATTAGAATAAAGTCATTAAGCTCCTTTAATTAGGACCTTTAATTACTACAAACACGAAAATGCATACTATAAGGTAATAAAGGATATTTAGGTGGGTTTTTAAGATGTAGAATTGTGTTCTACCATTCTTTCATTTTAGTATTGCCTGCGTTTCACTATTATTATCATGTTGGGATTTTGATGTTTGATTGACGATAAAACAAACAGATCATTGTCTCCACCCAAATTATTTTTAGAAAAAAAATTACATATCCAGAAACTACCTTCATTAAAAGCTTTAAAAAGTCGCAAAAATCAAAATCAAATTTGATAAAAAATTGATGTATAAAATAAGAGATTAAAAGTGATTTATGCTGACTAAGTGAGTATGAATTAGGACAATAATAATGGAACAGAGGGATTATAATACAACAAGAATCTACTAGATTCTACAAAAGCTACAACATGGCTTCAATTTCTACAAATAATTTTTTATGGGTTCCTAGTTCCTATAATTAGTAAAATATCACTTATGCACTATACGTAGTACAAAGTAAAACAATTGGATTTTTATAACTATGAATGCCCTCATACATGGCTGTCTTTAGGAGATGCAATAGGTGCTTGGTACCGGGATCCACTCTTGCAGGGAGTCTCCAAAAATTTAGTATGTGATATCAGCCTGCAGGTATAAGTTGATTTTTCTAAATGTTATGTATTATTCAAGAATTCAAAAGGTATATAACTTTTAGATTGTCTAAGTTGTGTAGTTTAATCATCATAAAACTTATATTTCATTGAACTATCTAGTCTATTCACATTTCATTGTTAAATTTTGTATTTTTTCTTGTTTTAGGGACCTCAATTCGTCATTTGAAGCCGGGACCTCTAAATTTATTAGACGGCTCTGCCTCATACTTCCTCCGTTCTTAAATAAATGCAACATTTCACACTTGCCGAGATACAACTTTGACCATTAATATATATAATTTTGTATCAGTAAAAAAATTAAAAAAAATAGATTTTGAAAATTTACAAAGAGACAAATTTAACAATATTTTTTTCATAAAAAATATTAATACATTAATAAATAAAACGTAGTCAAAATAGAACATGCGAATAATGTAAATTTTCATATGTTGCATTTATTTAAGAACGGAGGTAGTATGTCTTTTTACCTACTAATCATTGCTCAATCCAATAGTCAAATCTGGTGATGGAATTTGCTAGCAATTCCGCTACTTATCCGTTAGCCAAACTCTCTAGTCAAATCCGTTAACATAATCCGCTATCAAATGTTGATTGCAAAACGTGATCTATATATGTTATTAACTTATTTAAATTTTCAACTATTATCAAATTTACAAATGTCTAAGAATCATATTGTCAGTGGATTAATTACAAATGTCTAAGAACATCCGATGTATATTCCATTTTTTCCCTTTTTTATCCAGTTTGACTTACGGACATCTAGGTAATATGACTTTTACATATGATGCATAGACCAAAACCTACATAATTGATCACGATATTTGTAGGATGAATGAAATAAAATATTAATACTTGAACAAAAATCAAGTGTTTGAGGCCACGTAGTACCAACTACCACCGCATATCGTCTTGGCTTCCCTGTCTAATACGTAGTCGATCTTAAGTACCGGATATAAACTATTATTAATCTTGACAGAAAGACAGTCTCATTAGTCTCCAAAGGTTTCAAAGACGTAATTCGTAAGTTGATTAACTTTGACAAATAATGCACTCCTTAATCCAATTTCTTACCTTTTCACAATTCAAAAAGGTGGACTCCTCCACCCCAAAGTCCCCACACCCGACCCGATAAAGTGGTGAAATAGTAAATCTACGATATCAATCAATTTCTGATGCGCACCAAGGCCACTACATTAGATTGAACCTCGCACACTATCATTGTCGTCGGTCGGGAATTCAATCTGAGACATCAACCCAAATGTCTCACTCGGGCGGGCACCATTTGTGCGGATAATTTCTTACTTTTCCAGAATATTATTGCAATATAATCTTCGGAGTAATTGCATGATACCTTATTTCATTCATAAATAATTATAAGTCATAGTGTTTTCTTAGTTGTTAATTTAGTGCAAGTTTGAATTAGGTTCATCTCATTAATGTCAGATGTACAATATACATATTAGTATCAACAAGTTTCAACAATAAGTACGTTTTTTGAGATTTTAGTATGAAATATGCATTGAACTTCTAAAAACAAAATTAATTTGAGACTTAAAGTATCGGCTATAATAACAAGCACTTTTGATCGAAGAAAGTATGATATTTGACTCGTTTTAACCATTTGACCAATTTTAGGATACCGATGTTGGACTTTGGTAATGACTTTTAACTCCAACGCATTCTTTTGTCGGTTAAAAAATAAAGTAGTCTTGCAAAATCACAATCCATACTAGGCAGCTTTAGACAGTGTTAAACATTTGTAAGATTAAAAAAAAACATCATTTCTTGCTTTTATACTCCGTAGTCAGGGCCATAGATGAGGGCGTGCAAGAAGGGCAACAAGGCCTCTCGATTCAGAAGATCCAAAATTTTAAATATAGTCTACATAATATACAAAATCCTTTTTTATTTGATTAAAGATTCCTATTTTAGTATTTTATTTTTAAATACAAACATTAAATACTAATATTAATATGTAATTAAAATGCAATTGTTAATTATAAATGTGCAACTTCTTTATTACATAAAGCCTGGATAAGGCCTAGTTATTGTAATTAACACAAATTCCTCGTACAGTTTGGACGAGCTTGGTTTTAAGGGACGAAGTAGTTTTTTCAGTAATATCCTACTCCATTTTTTTAGTTCATGATTTTAATTCATTTCTTTTCGCTTTTAGTTTTTTTTTACCGATTTTGGTTGTTCAGGTTCGAAATATGATTATATCTCAATGTCACATTTGATTGTAGTCTTTCTTGGGTTATTTTCTAAAGACTATTTTTTATATTTTATTTATTTAATATGAGGCCCATTTTACGTGATTTGCACTGGATCTCCTAATCTATCGAGCCGACCCTGTCAGTAGTACATAACGAAATTTTAGTAAAACCTTTCATGTTTAGTACTCCGTACTTCATTGAATTGTTTTCATGTTTATTAATTGCCATCATCCATCTTTGAAAAAACAAAAACTGCAACTTCTAGTCTAAGTTATCGATTTCGAAAATATAATGAAACAAAAAGTCGTCTTTTTCCTAACAATACAAACCAAATACTCCGATATATTTTAGGTTGTGTTTTCTCATTTGATATTACGTTTATACGTGTAAAAACATTAGAACAAGTGAACAACTGTCGAGGTAAACATATGGTCGTCACTTTTTTAAAAGGAAAAGTGCCAAAAATGTTACCTCTTCATTTTTAAAAGACACAAATATGATTAGTGTTTATTCTTTGTTTGTTCAATATAGTGTTCTTTTAATTTTAATTCTTAACCAAACTATCTACCCTAATCCCCTGCCCCGCTGCCTCCTCCCGTAACACCCGCCGGCAGTCACCGCTGGAAACCGCCACCACTGGTCACATGAAAATTTTGCTGGATTTTTTCATTATCTTTTAAATTTTCACCATGAAAATTCCATTAAATTTGGTCACCACTGGTCGCGACCGGTGAACATTAGTGAACTTTTAAAGTTTTAATTTCATATTCTTTTAAAGTAGTGAAATGAATCTAAAAGAATGATAGTTTTTGGGTAAAACCTTTCTCACCAAGTACAATTTTACCTTCCTAAAAAATATTTTTGCACACAAAATTTGTTTTAACTACCCATGAGTATGGCTGGACTCGGGCCGGTTCGGGCCTGGGCCCGGTCGGGCCTCGGGCCAGAAAACTGGGGCCCGAGCCCGAACCGCCGGTGGCCGGTTCCGGTTCCGGGCCAAACCGGGCCGGGCCAAACCGGTCCATTTTTTTTTTTTGATTCTCCTATTTAACCCCCTACCCCTCCCCCTCAACCCCAAACCACCCCAAACCACCTCAAATGGCCCAAAATACCTAATCCAACCCAAAACTTAAAAAAAATTAAAAAAAAAAATAAAATCCGGCCCGAACCGGGCCCGAACCAGGCCGGGCCAAACAGTAACCGGGCCGGGCCGGTTCCGGGTCGGGCCGCCTGGCCCGAGTCCACCCCTACCCATGAGATGCCCCCCCCCCCCCCAAGTTAAAATACATTGTCCTAATGTATGATGCATGAAAAACAAATACTTCCATCAACATCCACAATAAATTGTGTTAGAGAAGAACATGTCATAAAAATAACAACAAAGGGTATTCAATGGTGTGGATCGGGAGGGGTACCCAAATTGGCCATAAAAATATTGGGTGAATTGTCCAAACCTTCGGCCATAACCGTGCAGTTGCTCCTCAATCCTTGCTTGGCGTGTCTCAAAGGTATCATAATGGGTGTGGATCTCCTCTCGCCGGGTGTACATCTTAACCTGTCGTGCCGCATATGTGTCCATCCTCATATGCATTCGATCCATGGATTGGATCAAATAGGCCATTGAGGGATCAGTAGTCTGTGGGGGCATCTGTGGTTGGGGCATGACTTCGTCATCCAGGTCATCCTTCATATCCTCTTCCTCTTGAGCTATCCTCTCCTCCTCATCATCATGTAATTGTGCAAAAAAATGTCAAGGGAAATACCACTCCCCATTCTCAAATTTATGTTGAAGGGCGGCCATGTAGTATTGTTCAAAATGTTGGAGTCACAAGTGTAAATGACTTATTTACCCTTTACTCCTTTAGGTCAACCTTTGAATGTCTAAAAATCATGGTAAGCAAAAGAGGGAAACAGAAATTCTTATCACCTCTTTTGGAGCGTACCACAGTTTTCATATTTTTGAGAATAAGGCGGGGGAGTGGTATTCCTGGAGTTGCTCCCAGTCCCTCTACCATTTTGGAGAGAAGGTAGATGTCTATCTTTCGGACGACATGGCGGTCACTTGATCGGGGACAATATTAAATCCAATGAGGTAGATGATGAGGTGCTCACAGATGTTCAAATATATGGTGTGGAGTTTCGAGAGCCCATACAGTTCCCGTGTTCGAGCTTCATCGTAGGTATTGCCATTGGTGATCCCCTTTTTACTGAATTTCAGGGTGTTTCCTTCATCAGTGACTTTGAGGAGGCGTGAGACAAGGCTTGGATCAACTTTGATACTCTTGCCTTTGACAGAGGTGTGGATGACAGCATAGGTCGTGTCTTTGTCGGTGATGTTGGCGTAGAACTCGCAAACCAATTGAGGGTAATATGCTCCTGTTAAAGTAAGCATCACAGCCCACCCTAGTTGCATGAAGGCCTCTGTAAGCTCAAATGTGGTGTTGATAAGGGGTCAACTGTCTTCTCTACCACAATCGCCCACTTTTTTCTTGTCTCGTACCACTTCTCATTTTCACAAGAAGTGAAACGGGAGTTGGAGTATGAAGAGGATGAGGCACCCTTGTTTTATTTCCGCTTTGGGGCTATCCTTGAATGGTTAGAAGAAGAGAATACAAACACCACACCAACAACTCTTCAATTCAAGGCATTTTTTCATGAATTTCCCAATTTTTCAAAATTAATCACAAATTGGTGCAACAATTAGGCTTAGAATGTAAATATATCAACACAAAGGATTTCAATATCATACTAATCATCAATTGTAGTAAGAATTTTAAGATTAATCAGGAAATTCGGACCTAGGGTTCAAAATTGAAAAGTTTTCAAGAGCTTCCCGAAATTCTCAAATTTTCGAAATGAAACATGTTTATACACATCATATGAGCACAAGTGATCAACATGCAACAACTATAAACATCTATTTTTCCAAATTTTGAATGACCAATTGAAAATTTTGAAAATAGAGAAATTAGGGATTTTAGCTCTTTTACCTTGAAATTGTGCAAGAAGGAGCTTGAAGAGTGATGCTTGATGTTGATTTAGAGCTTCTAGAGATGATTTCCAACCTTGAGTGGTGATTTGGGTTGGAGCTTGGTCATTTGTTTGAGCTTGAGAGAGATGTTAGTCATGTAAAAACGCAGAAAAACGAGTCTGGTGTGGCTTTTAAACTGCCAAACCGGCGCCGATTAGGTCATGAGACCGGCGCCGGCTATAGTACGGGGTTTCGAAGGAATAGACAATTTTAGTGTAATCGGCACTGGTTAGGTCATGGAATCGGTGCCGATTGCTGTACGGGGTCCAATATTTAATTGAAATAAATCAAACCGTCACTAGACCGATGCCGATTACTGTTCATCCCGTTTTTTTTGTTTCAATTATAAATAAATATGAACGTTTGTGTAACTGTACATATTTATTTATAATTGATTTTTGTTGGGTTGCCTCTCAATAAGCGCTCAGTTTAACGTCATAGGCCGGACGCAACGTATGTTTTAATCCTCCAGTTGGCAAGTGGTGATTGCCGAGGTGATGTGATACTCCATGTATGGCTTCAATCGGTGACCATTTACAAGAAATGGTGTTTGGTCACCGTTTTGAATCATCATTGACCCATATGGTCGGACCTCTGTGATTGTGTAAGGTCCCGACCATCGGGATTTGAGTTTTCCGAGAAATAGGCGAAGTCTAGAGTTGAAGAGTAGTACCTTTTGCCCGATGTAGAAGTCCCTCTGGTTGATGTTTTTGTCATGCCAAACTTTGGTCTTTTCCTTGTAGATGCGAGAGTTCTCATATGCATCTCTCCGAATTTCTTCAAGTTCCGCCATTTGAAATATCCTTCTTTTCTTTGAGAGTGTAGGATCAAGGTTGATCTTGGAGAGTGCCCACTGTGCTTTGTGTTCAAGCTCTACGGGAAGATGACATGACTTTCCATAGACAAGCCGGTATGGTGACATACTCAACGGAGTATTGTAAGTTGTCTGATATGCCTATAGGACATCATTTAATTTCAATGTCCAATCCTTTGTAGAGGTGATGACTATTTTCTCTAGAATTGAATTGATCTCTCGGTTGGACACCTCAACTTGCCCATTGGTTTGTGGATGATAGACTACCCCAGTTCGGAAATTGCTCTCATATTCTTCACAGTGCGGAATAGCCAAGTCGGTTTCTTCACACCGGGTCAATACTTTCTCAAGGGAAAGTAAGCATAAGTCAAAAGAATTCCCAAAAACAGAAAAATCATCCATGAAGTTTCCCACCATGTCCGCAAATATTGCCATTACACATTTTGAAATATCCCGAGAGCGCTGCATAAACCAAAGGGCAGCCTTCTATAGGAAAATGTGTCAAAAGGACATGTGAATTGAATGTTGTTTTCTTGGTCCTTGGGAGAGATAGCTATGTGAAAATAGCCGGAGAAACCATCCAAGAAACAAAAGAATTTGTTGCCCGCAACACGCTCGAACATCTCATCCATGAATGGAAAGGGAAAGTGGTCCTTCCTTGTGCCGGATTTTAATTTCCGGTAATCTATGCACATCCTTCAACGGGTAACCATTCTAGTATAAATTAATTCATTCTTATTATTAGCCACCACCGCGATCCCGCCCTTCTTTGAAACGACTTGAATGGGGCTTGCAAATTTACTATCTGAGATGGGGTAAATTATGCCATAGTCAAGGAGTTTGAGAACTTCCTCCTTAATCACCTCCTTCATGTTGGGGTTTAACCGCTTTTGATGCTCCACCGTGAGTTTGTGATTTTCCTCCATAAAAATTTGATGCATGCAAAGAGAAGGGCTAGTACCCTTAATATCCGTCAGGAACCATGCAATAGATGTTTTGTGGTCTCTCAATACCCGTAGTAATTTTTCTTCATGTCAGCCAGCCCCAAAATCTTTTGGTATTAAGGTTTGGGTGTTGTCGTTGTTGTTGTTGTAGAGATGAAGAAGAAATGACTACTGGGAAAGTTGAGTTATCTCCAAGAAATGCATATTCCCTCCGTACTTCAATGTTCTCTACAATAGGTTTGGGCACAAGATTTAAAGGTAAAATAGTAGGGGCAATGATTAATGTGAAAAAAGTAGGAGAGAAGGTAGAAAAGTATGAAAGAGAAGATAAAAAGTAGAAAACGTAAGGGTAATTGAGTATTTTTAAAGGAAAAACTTGTCAAAAAGGAAAAGTGTAGCAAACTTTTAAATACATCCAAAAAAGGAAAGTGTAGCCAACTTTAAAATACGGAGAGAGTATTTCAGATGCTCCGGTAGAGTTTTCAAAGATGGTTTTGGTGGAACTTCAAGAGATGGTTTTAATGTGGACTTACTTGTTCCAAGATCTTCAAATATTTGTCGGAAATGTTTGAAAGGAGCTTCGGCTAGCAAGTACATAATAACTTCAAGAAGTTCATGGCCTTCTTCTTTTTCGTTGCATCCTAGCATGATGGAAGTCTTCAAGGGATCTTCGTGAATCACCTTCCCAAAACATTTTTTAGTTAACGTGTCAATAATATCAATGCTAAAGCAAGAAGGGTCATCATGGTGTTTTTCAAAGAGTCCAAAACATGAAACTCTTGTTCTTCATCTCCAACACGAAATTTGACAATTCCGTTTTTGACATTGATAAGGGCGGTTGCAGTAGTTAAAATTGCCCAAAATTAGGTGCTCCAGATTGGGGTTGTGAGGAACTAGCTTGTGCCTTCCAATTACTCCCTTGGTTATACTTTTGTTGATTTGAAAAATTATTGTTCCCCTGATTCCCATAAGAGTTATAGAAGTTACCTCTTCAAGATGTTGAGATAAATCACCTTCCGAGCTTGGTATGCTCTCCACATTGGCTATTTGTTTGACTCCTCCAAATACGGCTTGTAGAGCTGTTTGGAATTTTGCTCAATCTTTGATTCCATTTCTTCAAGCATTTTGTTATCTCTGTTGTGATAAAGATTTCATTAATCCTGACCACTTTATAATCACCTCCTTGAAATTGAGTATTCGAGATAATGGATTCAATGATTCGGAGTGCCTCAGTTTCATTTTTGTTTCCAATATAGCCCTTGGGTTGTCTAGAATGGTTTGATACAGTGCATTCAAATCATTGTAAAACGTATCAAGTTGAAGATCAAGGGGAATGTGGTGGTGTGGGCGTTCTCTTAACAATGATTTAAAATGTCGCTATGCAACTTGGAAGAGCTCACCATTTTGTTGTTTGAAATTGAAAGTGCGTTGTCTAAGCTCTTGAGTCATGGTGGGCGTGTAATATTTAGACATGAAGACATTGTACATACTTTCCTAAGTAGTGTAGCTAGCTGGAGCTTGCTCTAGGAACCATCCTCTTGCTGCCCCTTTGAGATTATAGAGGAAGCATTTGAGCTTGTGATCATCATCGGCGAGCTTGTTCCTTGGAATTCCCTGAATGAATCCATAGAACTCGTGACAAAGTTTAGTGGATTCTCCCCTAAGTGACCATGAAACTGAGCCATATCGTTGAAGTGGCTATGCTTTAGTTCATGGTCTCTCGCTTCCTCGCTTAGCACAATGGAAGATGGGGAGGTTGCAACAACGTGCCTCTTCCTCTCATTTAGTGTGGACATCATCCTCGTGGCTTTTTGCTCCTTCTGAATGTGTTTGCAAATTTTTTCTATTTCAAGATCAAGTGGTTCAAGAGGTTTAGAACTCCGACTTCTCAAATGCATGCAAACACAAAGAAATATCTACAGACACAAAAATAAACCCTTCCAAGATCAAGTGAAGTTGTGAATAATAAAATAAATTCAAAATTTTTGAGTGATTGATTTTTTGGACTTCATTAAAGAAGATCGATTCCCCCGCAACGACGCCAAAAACTTGACTGGGCTAAACTTGCAAGTGTACAAGTGCCGATATAGTAATAAATTCGAGTAAAATACTGAGTCAAATCCATAAGGAAACGTTGTTTAGTCAAATCCACAACGAAACCTGGGCTGTCCATGTGGCATTTTTACTGTTCATTACTATTTTGTAAAATATTTGTCCCCTCTTTTTCTTCAACAATGCTTGATGTACCTACTCTTATACCCACCTTATATCAACCATGTTTGTGGATGTTTTTTTTTTGTCTGTGAACCCGGTTCATAGACAATATTTTGTTTGTGCAAAATATTGTCTGTGAGTCGGGGTTCACAAACATAGGTGGGTACAAAAGTGGGTATAAGAGTGGGTACAAATATCATTTTTGCTTTTTCTTTCCCCAACCATCGTCCTCCTGTGCTTCATTCTGTTGCCCAGTTTTTTCACAGCATCACAATCCACAAACCATGTTAAAAAATCCACTAACCTATTCCTTTACCTTGTTTGTGTATAAGCATCCCAGATTTTCAGTTTCTTTAATATCTTCCATAAGATCTGAAGTCCATTTAATTACTCCGTATTAATCAAGAATCAACCACCAAAGTTATTGAAAATAAAGAAAATGGGAATAAAATGGGAAATACAGAATCACCACACCGGCCACACCAATGGCGGACCCAGAAAGTCGGAGCCGTGGGGTCCTCACCCTTGTGTACAAGGACGGAGCCAGACTTGAGTACAAGGGAGGGCCACAATATAACACATGTAGAAAAATACTACGTATAACTTAGGGTGGACAAAAATTACCGAAAATATGATGACGGTGTCGAATTTTTAGTCATAAAGTGTACTTTCTAGTGTACAACTTCTAATATTGCATAGTTATATTAGTTACAAGATCAAAATAACAAGATAGTAATTTTACTATAAAATATAATAGCAACGGTCATAGCCGAAAGTTATGAGATTAAAAATGTAAATGATACACCAATACTAATATTCATGTACAAAATTCACATGATTAAGGGATTAAAAAAAGTGCCAAAACCACGTCATTTTTGGCTTATTTAATTAAAATCGTTTTTAAAAAACAAAAGATGTACTCCGTAGCTAGGGAGATCGAACATGGGACCTCAAATGAAATAGACAGCCTAAAATCTAGGAATGCATGCTCCATTCTACTGAGACAGCCTCTTGTTTCCAGGGTCGTTTTCATTTTATATATACATTTCCCAATTAATTTATATAAAATATATAATATATAGGTAATTTTTTCGAAGTCGACGGGGTCCCGGGACCCGTGGGACCCTTAGTGGGTCCGCCTCTGGGCCACACCCATACTCCATAGCACCATACACATGGATAATGTTTTTTAACTAATTGGAAATAAAGAAAATGTGAATAAAAACGAATCTCTGGATGGTTTACCCTTACGCATCAATTAGGATTTTTAAATAATTGGAAATAAGGAAAATGGGAGAGAGAGAAAAACTAATCTTGGAATGGGTTGCCTGGTTTCTTGATTTTTTTCTATAAGAGCGCGTTTGGTAACATTAAAATGGGTTGAATTGGTTGTTTCTGCTGAAATTTATGAAGTTCTAGCTGAAGTGATTGATTCTGCTGATTCATGAAAAAAAAATTAAATTATTTGTTATTAATAAATTAAATAAAAAATTATATGAATAAAAACTGAAATGATTATCTACAATAACTTCAACCAATACAACCAGAAAAGTAACTTCATCTTTACTTTTTCTGCTTATTACAAAATTCAGCGTGCGAAATCAAAAGTTACGTGTTTGGTTAAAAAGCTGGCTGATAAGCATGATAAACCGAAAAAAAGGGTCACCAAACGGGCTCTTAAGCATGAAAATCGGCTGTTTTGGCTGATTCTGCTGAAATTTATGAAGTTCTGGCTGAAGTGGCTGCGTTGGCTGATTCTACTGATTTAAGAAAAAAAATATTTTTAAAATATATTTTATTAATAAATTAAAGCAAAAATTATATGTAAAAATAGCTAAAATGGTCATCTACAGTAACTTCAGCCAATACAGCCAGAAAAGTAACTAATCTTATTTTTTCTGCTTATGACACGATTCAGTACGCGAAAGCAAAATTTACGTGTTTGGTGAAAAAGTTGGCTGATAAGACCTCTAAGCCGAAAAACAGTGTTACCAAACGGCCTCTTAATGTTAATGTAGACATTAGGGAGTCCTACACCTACAAACCATTACATTATACTAGTACTCCGTACATTTTTTGTTAATTCAAAGTTTGTTATTCTTACTTTGTTACGTGCTGAGGTATCAGTACATGTTTATTTTGACAAACCTCTTAGGCTGTCCACATTGTAAGGGGTGAAAACCCCAAATTTGAGGTATTCACCTCAAAGTGTTCTCCAACCCAAACAAAATTATGTATACATGGGAGTGATTGGTGATATATGGCTCCCGTTGAGTGAATTGGGAAGACCCTGATCCACCCTGCCGAAAGGAGAATTGCGCTGGAGTACGTAGGAGGAAAAGCAGTTGGACAAGTGGCAGGGACATGGGACCCAGGGAAATAAAAACATCTCTTTTTTTAATTATAGTATAACTTTTTTTTATTTGAACTCCAATGTAAATAAAAAAAATACCATTATTTATAACTTTTTATAACCTTTCATATGACATTGATATTGAATATATATAATTTAAAAATTGAAATTTTATTTGTTGGAAATTTTTAGACCTAACATTTTTTCTGAAGTCAATTCAAGTGTTAAAATTATGATTTCATGTTAAAATACTTTTTACATTTATTGGTTATTTTTTTCAAAAATATATCTCATGGTTAAAAAATTAAACTCCAAATTTATTTATTTTTACACCGAAATGTTTGACATTTTAAATCATTATTATTCGCAAAAATAGAATTTGGCATAAAAATTATGTATAATAATAAAAGTAAGGATTTAAATATAAAAAATGTGTTAGAGTAAATATATTGACGATGTTGGGTTGCAGAGAAAAACTGAATTGACTGAGTGAATACGTATAAACTGGTGGAAGATTAGATTTATTGACGGTCCCAATTGCGGTTAGCCTTACAAGACAACTTGGTGTGCACCATTCCGCACACAACTCACCACAAGGGAGAGGTCTAAAGGAAATTAGTTTTAACAACCATTCTTGGTGTACACGTTTTTGTACCCATCAGTACACGCATGTGTCTGTGAGAGTTTTTTTTTGTCTGTGAAGCGCGGTCCACAGACATAAGTTGACTTGTTTTGTCTGTGGAAAATTTCACAGACAAAACAAACCAGCTTTTGTCTGTGGACCGCGCTTCACAGACAAAAAAAAACTCTCACAGACACATGCGTGTACTGATGGGTACAAAAATGTGTACAAAAGGAATTTTTGTAGTTTTAATGTGTTCGTTATATATAAAAAGTGATCTTTTTTTTATGAATTGATGAGATAATAAGCCTGCCAGCCATCCTGTAAAAGCCTGTTCCCTAGAAAACGAATTAGACTATTCCTCAGGGTTTTCAGACCACGAAATCAGATTAATGTGTGAGCAGAAAAACAAAAAAGCCAAACGAAGCAACATTGTAAGGATATCTGGATTGTAAGCAACAGAGTAAAAATGAAGCAGCTTAATCCAATTCAAATTGTCAAAATAAAACTCTTAACTTTCATGGTTCACGTACGCATAAGCATATGTATAAGGATATCTGGATTTATATATATGTCCGTGTTTTTATTCTTAGTAAAATACCTCAAAGTTGGTAAAACTGCGTGTACGGAATTGGGCATCACCGGAAAATTGAGACCAATCCTGTTGCTTTGCCGAACGTCAAATTCATGGGAAGCCGATGTAGAAAATATGGGCGAAAAAATGAAAGTGTGACCTATTTATTTAACTGGGAAGCCCTATTAAGGAATTTGGATTTTATTGTAGATGGGCTGATGGGCCTATTAACTAAATGCTTTTGAGCCCGTTTAGTATCATAAAAATCATCTATTTTAGCATGAAAATTTATGAAATTCTGTTTGAAGTGGCTGCATTGGCTGATTCTGTTGATTTAAGAAAGAACTATTTTGAAAATATATTTTATTAATAAAAATTAATAAAAAATTATATGTAAAAATAGCTAAAATGATTATCTACAGTAATTTCGGCCAATACAGCCAGAAAAGTAACTTCAACTAGGGCTGGGAAAAAACTCCCGATCCTGATCCCGACAATCTCGATCCCGACAATCCCGATCCCGACTAGTCGGGAATTTTTCCCGATCCCGACTAAGTCGGGACGGGACCGGGATTTTTTTTAAAGTCGGGATCGGGAAAATCTCGACATCCCGACATTATATATATAGAAATATATATATATATATATATATATATAGGGTGAGGTTCAAGTGAGAATGATATGTTAGGAGAGAAATAAGAACAAACCACATCCATCTAAAATCAAATTTCTACGGTATTGATTAAGCTTTTAACGGTGGCATAATTGAAATTTGGTACAACTTTGAACAACTAATGGGCTGACTTAACGTTAACGTAACAGAAAAAAGTAAACCATATGTAATTAGTTAATATTAATAGCCCACTATCTACCGCGGTGATCTGAATTCTGAAAAGTGAAAACACCAAACCGTGTGAAACAATCACACAAAAACATTAAATTTATTATACAAGTATTGCTTTATCGTCTTTTGTTATACGGAGTAGTATTTTGTATAAGCACCTTTGCATAAAAATAATATGCACGTGTAATACTTTATGCCACTGTATATTTTAATAGTCCTAATAGTTTAATTGCATTATGAAAAATTTATTCCAAAGTATGCAAATGCATTATTAATCTAAATGAGTGTAGTCATATACCAAAATAATGTCTTTTTGTCATTTATATTTTCTCATTAATTGTATCATTATATATGCACTAGTATAAAAAGATTTTGCACTTTTATGATTAACTAGCATACACTTCTAAGTAAAGAAGACTTTTAAAAATAGTATTGTGCACATTTATCATTTGTATTTACATATATGTTCTTAATCACAGTATATGCATGTTGGGGTGCGGTTCCAGTGAGAATACTCCTTCACGTGAGAAATGAGAATGCTCCAAAAGTGTTGCACTTTATCATGCACGAAAATGCATATTTATAGTTAAAGTGATGCAAAATTCAAATGTGCACATTTACGTTTAAACTTTTGCACAGTTGAAAGACACATTTTATAATTTTTTATATGCACATTTTTGTTTTGCATGATGCACGACACCCAAATCCAACACTCCAGAATTATTCTCGTTTCTTTCATCAGATGATATTCTCATATTATCCTTATTTTGCATGTTATAAATTAACAATTATGTATTAGTATTTCTTCTTCTTGAGACATGACAAAATGAAAGTGCAACTTTATTGTTCATGTGGTGCACTCATATTGCAAAACTTATGCACTTTTATCACATATCGATGTGTAATTACATATTTATAAATATATAGCACTTTTAGAAATAATGTTTGTGCTCTTTTATTATTATTATTATTATTCTAATAGTGCACTTACATTTGCAAAACTACGCAAAACTATAGATGTGTGTACTTACGTACTCAAAATTAAATATGCACTTTTAGTATATTATTATGCACTTATTTACATTTGTGAAAAAATTGTACACTTATTCTTAATTTGAAATATTGTGCACTCTATGTTTTAATTTTTTTGAAAGTATATTGTGTGATTTAGTTTATTTTACCTTCAACAACATAAATAATAACAATACAACTAAAAGTTCAAACCAAATATTTAATAATGCACATCCATAAAACCAAAAGTGCACACCAAATATATTTAAAGAAACATTGGAATATGTAACCTAAATAAAAAAAATAGTGAATAAAAATGAAACTTTTTATACAGTAATTAAGATATACTCATACGTGTATCTTTAATCATAATTTTTGTCCCCAAATTATGTCTCAATGATAATTAAAGAAAGTCAATTTTTGAAATAGAAATTATGCATTCAAAGTTAACACAAAAAAAAAATGGTTTGGGAGTCCTTTAAAAAAACATAAATTAAGGCATGCATCAATAAATAGTAATAAAAAAGTTAACTAGCTTCAAAGTTTACTCCTCTAAAAATTATACAAGTCTGGACAAAGTACAATAATAAAATTAATTGTTAGAAATTACAAATGGAAGTCACCAGATTTTTAAAAGATACGTATAACTAATTATGGAAAGAGTGGTCACTAAAGCACTAACCATGTCCGGGCATCAACATAAGCAACGAGCTTGATCGTTAAATCTCAGTGACCGTTCCGTTAAATCAAACTTAATTAAAGGTAGAGATGCATTCTTATTTCTCTCCTAAGATTCTATTCTCATTTGATCCCTATTCTATATATATATATATATATATATATATATATATATATATATATAGAATTTTATTCATGTCCGGAATTCCGGACAGGAACCGCCGTCCGGACGGCGGCGTTTGGCCGCCTTCCCGGTGATATTTTTTGATGAAATTTTTATGGAATGTTCTTCATCAAGTCTAGTTTATCCACAAAAAAATTCAGCCAAAAACTCAATCGGGAAGGTCGTCAAATGATTTTTGCAAGTTAACTCGTCCGGAATATGTATTTTCCGGACCAGTTAACTTGAAAAAATCATTTGACGACCTTCCCGAATGAGTTTTTGGCTGAATTTTTTTGTGGATAAACTAGACTTGATGAAGAACATGTCATAAAAATTTCATCGAAAAATTCCACCCGGAAGGCGTCCAAACGCCGCCGTCCGGACGGCGATTCCGGTCAGGAATTCCTGACCGGAAGAGTACTCTATATATATATATATATATATATATATATATATATATATATATATACACATGTATATAATTATATATGAGTACATAAAAAATGAATATACATTTATAAAAAAAATTGAATATGTATCTAAATATTTGCATATCTTTTTTAAATACTTATTCCTTACATAGATTAATCTTTTAGTACGAGTATCTTACAATATCAAACTTATAAAACTATTCGGCATTTGTCCGAAAATGAATATCTGAGATCCTAACTAAATAGAGATTATTTTTTATCCCGACAATCTAAATCACAACAATATTACAAATTTTGCAGTTCTGATGAATTCTTTAAAAATTATGATCGAGACTAAGATTTCTTTCTTTTGTAAATAATCATAATATGTATTTATACATTATATTCATTGGTCACAAAGTTTTTCAATAAGTCTACTTAGTTTTGAATTTTAAATAATATACGTTACACATCCTTCTTTTAGTGATTTTTATAAAATGTTTGAAGTAAGTTTCACTAAGCCTTGATAGCTTATTCAAAAATTATACTATTAATTAATTGAAGTTACAAATAAAAATTATTCTAAAAGTATGTACTAGTGTGAATTTGAGAGGATAATTATTACAATAAACTTTATAAGTAGATGATGATAAATATGGTATAACAATGAACAAAGAATAATTTTGAAACCGCTGAATATCAAATTTAGTGTTTAACTAAAGAAATTACATAATTTTATGTTTGATACTTCATTGTCGGGATTTAGCGGGATTAAGCGGGATTCCCGATCGGGATCCCGACTTAATTGGGATTTTAATGTCGGGATCCCGACTTAATCGGGACGGGATACGGGATCCTCTTGTAGTTTGAATCGGAATCGGGATCAGGATTTGGGCAATCGGGATCGGGATCAAGATCATCTCGATCTCACCCCTAACTTCAACCTTACTTTTTCTACTTATTACCCAATTTAGGCTAAAGCAAAAGTTACGTGTTTGATGAATAAGTTGACTGATAAGCCTGATAAGCTGAAAATAGTGTTGCCAAACGGTCTCTTTATTTGAACTGTAATCTGTCTCAGACTAGACTTGGATATTTACAAAAATACAAAGATACCAGACATTATTGAACCAGTTGAGACCAGGAAATTACCGTCCAAGCAAGTCAAAGTACAAGTAAAAACATTCGTATTAGCCTATGAAAATATTTTCTAGGCTCAAAAACAACAAAAGAAAATGGTTTCATTATGATTCTCCAAATAACAAACAACACCCTTACTATCAATTTCACAGCAAATCAAACCCCTAATTCATTCAACAATTCATTCATTCATTCTTATCCATGAAAAAACGTATCTAAACATA